CGGCTGGCTCTCACCACTAGAAGGACTCTTGTTCACTTTTTCCAACAGCTGATCTAATCCCAAAACCTGTTCCTCCTTGCTCCCCGATTCATCTGCTCTCCTCTCCTCCACCTTCCTCTTCTTCACAGGACTCCGATTCTTCTTGTCGGGGGGTGACTGCGGCTGCCTCTTCCTCGGGCTCTTTCTCTCCCTAGGCTGAGGGACACTGATAGAGGTGTTTCTTGTTGTGAGTGAGCCATGCTTTCTGGGGCTGGATCGGATCTTTGATGGGCTGGAAGTATGGTCTTGTGTCCTCCTCTTTAGACTCCTCTTTCCCTCAAACTTTGGGGGACTCTTGAATACTTTGGAAGGACTTGACAAGACGTGTTTTGTGGGACTGAGCTTTGGAAGCTTTATTGGACTGTTCATTTTCTTAGCTTTCCCTTTATCTGGACTGTGGTTACCTTTTTTTGTGGTATTTGTCTGCTCTATCGATAGAACACCAGCCTGCAAATGGTATAGTTTGATTTAATATACATCAAAAAGTACATACCAAAACATTTTCTAAAGTTATCAATTTTCCTTTAACAATATCATGGAAAAATTACAATCTCTCTCTAGAACAGTGGTCCTTAACCTGGGGGAAGTGGTGTTGGTAATTTCCAGGGGATTAGCCCTCATGGAAAATATGAATTTCTCTAATTACATTTGTGATTCTCTTAGCAACATCCTGAGAAGGGTAAGGGGAGGGTAAGTCGTCCTGGCCCTGTATACTTCTCATTGGTGAGTCCTCTTCTCTCCCAGCCTCTCATACATGTCCATGGCAAGAACTAGATCCTGACATGTTCTGGGTAAAGTACCTTCCTTTATGACATTGTGACACTATTTTTTTCACACTTGTTGCTTTCAACACCAAGTAAAGAAACCAGGTGAATGTTGAAAGGAAATGACAAATTGCACTCTCTGCTATTCAATCACATATTCAAGACCTATTAGCTAAGAAGTCATGTCAAGTATCTTATTATCTAATACTCAGTGAAAAGGCTCTCTTAATTTTCTTTTAAAATCTGTCAGGGATTTTTTTCATAAATACAAGGGAAGCATGGAACGATCAATTCCTCAAGGTCATATATTAGAAAGAAAATACATGAAAAAAATATTTAAAAAATAAAATAAATAGATCCACTGTTCTAATATAAGAATACTTACTCTTCCTTGACTTAATAAAGAAAAAAAAGAAAAAAAGAAAAGAAAGAAAAGAAAAGAGAGAAAAGAAAGAAAGAAAAAAAAAAAAAAAAACACTCCAAAAAAGTGTTGATCTTCACCCACCACACTTGCTTCCTCCCTCTCTTCCTCCTCATCTTCCAGATGATCCCCCAAGGCCTGAAGAGCCTTCTCCTTCTTCCTCATCATGTCTTCGATGGCTTTGCTTCTCAACGACTCCTTCATTGCAGCGATAAGGCTCTCGTCATCTTCCTCCCCATCTCCGTTGGCCCCTGGTGTTATTTGGAAGTGTTAGTTGTTAAATGCAAAACCTAAGCGCAACTAGGAAATGTTTTTATATAGTGTCTTCAGAATTTCTTATCTATCTATGAATATAAATAATATCTAAGACATAAAAATATTTATCCCAGTAGCACATCAGAAAAAAACACTAATTCAGTAATGGACAAAAATAAGTAAAAACTTCCAAATGAATATATGAAATAATTATAAGATATAATGAGATTTCTAGTCAGATTTGACTGTCCATCATACTGTAAAACTGAAATTGATGTTTCCTTTCTATGCTAATGTACAAAGTTTAGATATAACTTTTAGTCGTTTGCTTCTTGCTTCTATCAAACTCCAATTAATAAATGTTACCCAATAAACTAAACAGATGCTACTTTTGTTCAAGCATCTGAATCTGTCATGAATATCTTGTCTGTGTTAAGCTGTTCTCCTGAATGAAAATAAAATAGATTACCATTTCTTTTATGTAACTATTCATAAATCCTCTCTATATAAGGTTATATTCATTTATTGCTGTGACTTTATGAACTTACCAGGTGCTTTATTCTTCTGCTGAAAGACCTCTGCTGAGATTTTTGTCTGTTTATATATCTTCTTGTTTTTGGGTCCTGGGGGTTCAAGAACCATCTCATATATTGTTTTCAGCTGCTTATCAGTAGTGTGGTGCCTCTGCAGCCTCCTCAACTTTTCCTTTGGAGGAGATAAGTTGAAGCTCGATGCCGACTTCTGCAGCGATCTCTTTGCTTTGGATGTGGTTGGGCTGTGTGTGTTCTTGGAGAGGATGGCCATGAGTGGAGAGCCCTTATCTTGCAGCCTTTCGCTCTGGGAGTTCTTGTTTGTCGCTCCAGGTAACAGAGAGGGGGATGTAACGTCACTGTCGTCTTGCATGAATGAGGGTGTTTTAGTAAAGACAAGAGGGGAGTATCTTGGTGTGGATGCATTCTCCACTTCAGTCTTATTTTTAATGCTAGATTCTGGCTCTGTTGGCGGCCGCACCACTTTGGGT